ATTGCCCAACCTGCGGTAAGTCTTGACTAGGAGTTCTCTAGAGTTAGTTTCCCGTTCCTGAGAGACTTATTTCTACTACCACTGCCAGCTGGCAATCCTCCCTCAATCAATATAGGCCCTGGCAAATCACAGATTCGAGCTCTAGCCCAGCTTACTCACACCCTCTTTTGCCTTGCTTTTTAATGAATTATCAGATACTTAGAACATGAACTAATATAAGATTTAAAAGCCCTTTTTGAACAAGACTTTTCCCTACTAAAAATAGTATAGATTCCCTGTCATTCTACTATCGGTGGAAAAGTTTCCTAATGGCTAAGTAAAAGAGGGAGGCAAGCAGAAATGGGAAAAACAAAAAACAAAAAACTTCAGCACATGACGCAAAGACTGCAACTAGAGGAGATAATTCTTAGAGAAGACTCAATCAATCAGCTTAATTTCAGAGAGGTTAAATCAGCTTTATTAAACTCCAGGTTTCAAACTATGTCCAAATGGTAAGATTCGATGTGGCCTTTCTCACTTCCCACTAAGTACTTACAAAGACATAGAAAAAGAAAAAACATGTTTATCTTATCAAAAACTAGACAATGCTTTAAAAAAAAATAGCAGCAGCATGTGAAATAACTGTCTATTTTCTTAAATAAGATTGATGGGACTGTATTGACAAACGCGGAGCCTCACACAATGACACAAAGATTGGCTAAAAAATGGGGGGAGATATTAAAAGGGCAACTTATTTCTCTCTACTGTCTCCTGACCTTGGTCATGAGACCTAAGGAGTCTCTCAGGAGTGTCCAGAAAACTTGGCAGTCAGCATATATCATAGAGGTATAAGTTTATGATAAAATCAAAGAGTTTTTTGCTCTTGCTTTTCCTCTGTCCAACATCGTTCTATATCCATGAAAATAACTCTCTTAAGATAACCTAGTAGAAAGAGCAGAATGGTAATGTGAATGTATATTGCAGAGTGGGTATCTAACAGGTAAATGTTACAAAGACAAAGGCAAGAAAAAATGTACTTCTTCACCTACCAAGAACAATGTAAAAGAACCACCATGTTGGTACAAAAAGGATGCCATCCTAGGAAAGCAAAGCTATACCAGGTGAATGCTGATAGCAAGTGAGATTTAAGAGAGGTGTGCACATTGATCTGCCATACGGTAACAGATCTGAGAAGAAAATATACCTCTTAACCAAGTAGAGAGCTTAATGTGAATAGCAACCAACTACTTTTTGTTAGCAAACCTCAAGCCTTATCAAAGCAAAGCATAAGTGGGGGAGGAACTGGAGAGGTAGGAACTATGAAAAATAAATGCCACCTACAAGGGAAAGTAAACATAATCCCGAAAGAATGGAGAGACAGTACAGCAAAATGATCTAGAATTCTGAAGAAATTTTTTAGTAAACTCTCTGAAATTCTTAACATTACAAAAGAAGACAGGGCCTCCCCAGAAGAGCAGAATAGTGGATTCATTCATTTAAAAAATTTTTTTTAGTTACTGCCTATTATGTGCCTGGCTCTAAACTAAGTGTTGGGAACACAGCAGCAAATGAAACAGTGAGTAAGGCAGTGGAGCATGGTACTGAAAATACTTCTGTTGTGAAGAACAGAGAGCATTGGGACCAGCAGGTGGCATGGTTGTTAGGGTATTGGACACTCCCACATGGATGACCATGGTTCAAATCCCAGGCCTGGTGGCTTGCTTTCTCAATTTCTCTCTCTCTCTCTTTCTCTTTCTCTGTCTCTCTGGTCAAATTAAAATAAATGAATAAAATTAAAAATAAATAATTATTTTTTAAAAAAAGAACAGAACAGAGAACATTTCTAGGAAAGAAAATTCCAACTCAATCTCCATGATAGAGGGTTGCTAGAGCACAGTTCTTTCCCAAATCATAACTTACCACCTCTGTAGTCTTTGTAATTGTGGCTAGCTTAGAGCATAACCTACATTAATTACACACTGTCCCCCAGAGCTACACTATCATTGATATGTAATTTAACACCTAGATAAATGATAAAATAACCCCATGTTGTATTATCCTTGGAAAAACATTATGTTTCCTTTGATTTGAAAGACCTTCCTCTAGAAACTAGCAAGGTAATGGAGAAGAGAGTCTGGAGGAGTCCATAGAAGAAAGCATATAAACATATAAGATAGTGCTCACTGAAAGCTCCGGACACTCTTGCTCTACTGTACTGAGTGGCATGTTGTAGGGGGCAGGATAAACAAAGTATGCCAATAAGGGGGGAAAAAAAATTAGAAAGAAAACAGGCTGAGGGGCCAGCAGATGGCGTGGCGGTGAAGGTGTTGTACTCCCCCATGACTGACTCTGGTTTGAGTCGGGACTTGGTGGCTTGGTTTTTCAATTGCCCTCTACCTCTCTCTGGTGCCCTATAGCAAATTTAAAGTAAATAAATAAATAAAAATTAAATACATAATTCTTTAAAAAGTAAACAGGCTGAAATGAGAAGATGTAACTCCATTAAAGGGACAAAGGCTGTAACATTAAAGAAAGAAAAAATGCAATATCGATTAAAATTCATACAGATGGTCTAGCCATGGTGGTACGGGCAATAGAAAGCTGCATGTGATACTGGAGCCATATGGGAAGGTCCAGAGTTTGAATTCCTGGTTAATCCGAAAACCTCGGTGCACTCATAGGCACGATTGTGGTTCTGGATGACTTGGAAGGCTTGGGGAGAATCATGGCATGACAAGACCTGGCAGGGGTTCCTGTCCATCTCTCTGAAGAAATAAATCAAAAATTTTTTTTTGGGGGGGGGAGGTTTTTGCCATAGAGCGTGTGCACTCACTAGAGAGAGACAGAGAGATAGAAAGCGAGAAATCACCCCCCAGGGGGGATGGCCACGCCGCAATCCCTTCTCCATTCTCTTCTTGGGATCTTGGGCACGCACGCACATGCGCCCGGCGTGAGTTTTAAGCCACCGGGTCCAGGACGCGAACCGCAGTTGACTTCGTGGGAGTCCAGTGACACAGCCATTACGCTAACTGCTGGTCCCAAGAAATAAATCAAATTTTTAAAAATTCATACAGAAATCAGAAAAATACATACAACTGAAGCTATGAAAAAGGGATCAGTGAATTACAAGAAAACTTAAGATATTTTTCCAGATACAAAGAAAATGACAATTAAAAGACAACCGAAAGGGAATTAAAATATATGTATATATTTTAAGTTTGCAGTAAGGCACATGAACTTGCCAGAGAGACAGAGAAAGGAAAAGTGAGAAATCAACCCTAAAAGGGAATGGCCATGCCACAATCCTTTCTCCTCTATTTTCTTCTTGGGATTTTAGGCACATACAAGTGTGATTTTCAAGCTACTAGGTCCCGGACTTGAACTGCACAGTCAGCCACATGGGATCCCTATACCACCTAGCTGGCCCAATAAGGGAAATTTAATTTAATTAAGTTAATTTATTTCATGAGAGAGACCACAGAGAAAATGCAGATGAGAAAAAATGAGAGAAACAAGTACTCTCTACAGAATCTTGTCCTACTGTGATCTCCTTCTGCCAGACCCTCACCTAGTTAGGATCTTGGGCATGAGTGTGCCCAGGATGTATCACATTGACTCTGAACCCATGGTGGGCTATTTGGCTTCCAGTACTGCAGAGCGCCACGCTACCACCTCCACCACTGTGGCTGGGCCTGAGGAGGGGAACTGAGAAAACATTTAATACTATTGAAGAAAAACTGAGGAAGAGATGATAACAAATGAAAGAAAAGCAACCCATCAAAGACACAATTAATGAGTAACATCTTGATTTGCACAAAGTTATCTTGCATACAGATTGAAAAGGTTTACTACATTTTCATCAAAATCAATTAAAGGGAGCCAGCAGGTGTTAAGGTGGTTGAGATGCTGGACTCCTACATGGCTGACTGGTTCAAGTCCCAGACCTGGTGGCTCGCTTTCTCACTCCCCTCCTCCTCTGTTGGGCACTCATGCCCTATAGCAAACTTAAAAATAAAATAATAAATAAAATTAAATAATTCTTTATTCAAGAATTCTTTTTATTTTACTTATTACTATTATCTTTTTAATTTAACTATAGAGAGACAGAGAGAGAAAGTGAGAAAGCAAGCCACCAGATCCAGAACTCAAATTGTGGTAGGCCATGTGGGAGTCCAGCACCCCAACCATAATGCCACCTGGCAGCCCCAATAAATAATTCTTTTAAAAAAAATCAACTTAAGACTGTATCTATGGGAAAACAGTAAAGCACTGCTCAAAAGACCAGATCCCACATGGAAACTGAAGTTTGAATCCTTGCCTAGTCAGCCTACAACACACCAGGCATCACGCATGTAAGTGCTCAAGATCTGATGGGCTGGAAGACTGGAGCAAAGGGACTGTAGTGTGACCAAACCCTGTGGAGGGTGTGCTTATTTTTCTCTCAAATGTGCATGCACATGTACTTTATCATGAATAAAGAACAAAAAGATTCATGTAACCTTTAAGAAAAGCAACTTAAGGGGGCCCAGAGGTAGCATAGTTGTTAAGGTGTTAAGATTCCCACATGGCCAACTGTGGGTCAAGTCCTAGACCTGGTGGCTTACTTTCTTTCTCT